TACCCTACCGCCATCCTGACCCATCGACACTACCGCCACCACCACCATCGCCGCCGCCGCCAACGCCAGCCGTGGTCTTTCTAACCTATCCGTCCCTCTTTCTCCTGACTGTACCCGTACGCTCCCCTTTCACCGTGTTAGAGGGAAGACGAGGACGGCCTTGGCAAGTAGGGCTGTCCAGCCGGTGCGTAAATGCGTGTCTGATGTGAGTTTTTCTCTTACAAGCGGAGGAGGGCATCCAACGTCTGCCTCTGGCATTGGGTAGGCATTCACAGCTAGTGCATCGTTTGGCCTATGGATACACAAACTATAGTAGGTATATCTTCAGGTCGATGGTCATATGGAGTATATATATACACAGCCATGACTATCCCTGTGGACAACGTGCGTGTGAGATTTCGTATAGGCTGAGGGCGAGGTCGACTGGAGTGCTTTTGCCCCGTAAAAGAAATATATATATATATATATATATATATATATATATATATATATCGGGCGAGGCTCTTCTCCTGGATCATTGTACGAGTAACGTATACGTGAGTGCGTAAACTCGTCCTGGAGCATGTAATCATTGTACCGGTTTATACGCGTGATTTTTAAACGCCTAAAAAGAACTTAGCACCTAGCTTCTTGTACATACTATGCTTTGTATGTACTGTATGTACAGTAACTGGAGACACGTAGAAAGTCAGGGTTATGATAACAGTGGTAAATATGCAACTTGCTTTAACCAAACTATACGTATGCCTTGGTATATTGGAGATAGCCTGGACGTCAGCGCACTCTGACGGATGTTTGCAGAGACACGAATTTCTGAGATCAGTCATTCCCCCTATGCTGACTTTATATGCGTTAGATATAATGTATGCTGTGTAATACAACTACTGGGCTGTTATTATTGTTATTACTACTATGCGTAGTTCATTTGCTGGTTGGTTTTGGCTTTTTTATCTATACTTATGAACCACCGTGACTGAGCGCTTGGTGCGCACTCGTCTAGCCAAATCACTGATAGGGGCGCGCATATGCACGCATCGATGGGACTACGTAACATACGTAGGTTGTTCTAGGCGGTACCAGAGGAAGAGGGAGAGACGGTGAAATAGAGAGAGTACACATTGGCGAGGGACACAAGGAGGATGTGTAGAGTGTAGAATGACTGGCTGGCGGTTGCGTGAAGGGCTATGTCGGTGGCGAGAGGGAAGGAGAGGAAGGGAGACGGGGAGATGGTGGTTTTTGGGCAGAGACTGTCTAGGGCTCGCGTACTATCCTGGTCCTAGATCAAGTTAGCAGCTAGTCGCGCCCTATTCTCCCTGCCACCGCCGACGCCGCCGCCTCCTCCTCGTGCATATAACACAGGGACGTAGGAGGAATTGCGTTCTTGGGGACTTTTTGGGCCCCTATATAATTCTTGTTGGCGGTTTTATGTAAACGCTGGAAAAAAAATTGGGAATTCATTTTTGTAGGTGTTATTATATTTTCTGGGTCTGTGACATGGAAAAGATCGGATTTGAGGATTTTGAGGTTATTGCTGAAAATTTGTATAATGCTTTATTGGAGGATCTTACTCAATTTTGGTATCGATGTGTGGGGATCTAATGGGTTTCTAAAAATAATGTAATACGTCAATATTCAGGGATTAAATTCATTGTATGTTATGCTCAGGATTGTTTTTAATGTAAGGGATTGTTTGTTTGAAAAAAATGTAAATGCCAATATTTCAACGTGATGCAAGAATTCACTTTTAGGAGGAAATAGTAGAAATTTCTCCAAAGGGTTCGAGGCTGTAAACTCTTCCCAATTTTTCAAAAGGCAAGGGTGTAAAAAAACTGCAGCGACGGCCGAGGGTTGCTGACTCCATAAATAAAATTTGCAAGGCTAAGCGAAATACGTTGACATACCTGTTGACAATAGATTTTTTTAAAGGGTGAAATTTAAAGGTGAATGCCATTACTTGCAGAAGGGCTTTTTTATTTCTGGAGGTATTCTGCAAATGTCCGGGGCACGGAGAAGTTCACTGGCGCTCCTGGTCGGCCATAAAATGCAGCAAGCCCCTCGGCAGCTCGGCGAGTTCCACACATGCGCGCACACTACATATCTTTTACGCACATTTACGCATTTATTTACGCACATTCACGCAGTCACTGCGTGGGGACTCACGATGTGCGTTTGGCTTCCTTGCTTGCGTTGCGTGCACGCATGGCTGTCCAGCCGGGTTACTCGCCCCTTTTCAAAAACTATCCCAGACTGTTCCCACACTCTTTTAGGCTGGATCGAAATGCAAGTGTCCTTTTTTTTATCAGAAGGGCGAAAAATTCGTGCCCCGACTCGGACCGAGGTCTTTGTCTTAAGAATTTTCATGTTTTATCCTTTTTACTATTTTTGTAATCCACTGATACCAAGAGGGTGTATGTACTTAGGTATCTAGATATTTTTGTAGGTACAGGACTATTTGGAAATTTAAAAAAATATTTTGTACCATATTTCTTCTTCGTTCTATATTTTGGTTTTTTCTTTCTTTGGTACCCACTGCTTTTTTTACCTGGATAACCCGTTATTTTGGGAACAGGATGTTGCGCAGCTGAAATTTGCTATAATATACTTCAATTGACTTGTGACTCATCTGCGGTGATGAACGTGGATCGAACAGAATATTTTTCAAAAAACTTACAAAAATTTTGTACTAGATTTTACTGTAATTAGTCGTAATCGGATTTGCCTAACGGATAAATTTTATGATTTCCATGTTCCTTTTACTTTTAGTAATTTTGCCTATTAAAAAAAAAAAAAAATGAAAAAGTACATTTTCGAAGTTTTAGTGTCACGAGTAAAAAGGGTCAGGACGGTAGCATTCATTTACAAATAAAAATTTAGTCAATTTACTTCGCCCAAATTTTGTCCATCCACTTTACTACCCTGTGAAAACTGCATTTTTTGTACCTGTCCAAGGGGTTGCAACCCGGACAAAAAAAGTTACTCTTTACGTTACTCGAAATATCCTCGAACTAAGAAAAAGGGTCAAACCGTCAAATAGCATCCCTTTTTTTATAGCTCACTGCGAATTTCTATTCCCTCTGTTTCCCTTAGTGCCAAAGTTCCCCAAAATGTCTCCTTTCACCCCATCGTCTTCAAGCAGCAATAAGCATTAAAAGGGGGAATTTTTTGTACTTATTTTCACCCTTTTATTTCTTTATGCTTACAAGATTTTCGCGTTCTTCAACTTGAAACTTAATGACTAAAACTTTCACGTGTACCGTTTCGAGGTTGCAGGCACTTCTTCCTACGCTCCCCCCCCCCGTCGCCATCGACCGTTGCTAATAAATATTTCACAATTCAACGTGACATACTAAATAAGATTTCTTTTTTTCTTTTTTACTCTTGTAAAATTTACACTTTAGTAAATTTCAAAGTTAATAATCCCTCAGGCTAAACGTTTCAATATCGTTCTTCCCAATTACGTCTGAAAAGAAAAAAAATAATATCAATGTATTATGATCGATTGAAGTAAGTAACATAAACGACTAACCTCCTAATCGATACCGCTGCGAATAAGACAGTCTTCAAAAAGACCAGCCATAGGTCGGTTAGAGAAGGTAAAGATCAGTGTATAATTTCCAAAAAGGAATGTTCATTGATCGTGAACGGCTGTTCTTAAGGAGAATCGCATAAGGAGTTAAGATGGCGGCGACTGATATGAAAATTCGAGTTGGACGATGGTAAAGAATATGGCTGCCAGCCCGTAGACGTTGGAGCGCAGCTTCCCAGATTTCTTTAGCGGAATTAAAAAAAAAAGAGACAGAGATAGGCAGACGAAGGCTGCACGATGAATTCGGGTTCGACCACGGAAATCAAAAATGGCCGCGACTCTATCTTGACTATCCCACAATATTATCCTCTCTTTATATTATACCTTACTCGTTTCTCACGATTAAACGAAATAAATGCTGGCATTAGAGATTTAATTTCAGACAAAGTCGTTCCTACGAAAAGACAGCTTAGGCACGTACATGACTGTATTTTTCTCCTATGGTATACCCAGCACTGGTATACCCAGTGCATCCAGTACGTGAACGGAATGCGTTTCCAGCCGGGATATTTCTCATTGCACGACGTAAAAATAAGCGAATCCAAAATGGCCACAAGCGACGTTCGAACAATAAATGTTTCCGTTTGATAAGTGGATGGTGGGAGGAAGAAACGACAGGGAAGAGACGAGAGAGAGAGAGATAAATTGGGCCCATGTTGTCCCACACGGTTTCTAAGTTATTTTTAGTCGACATATTTCAAGATACGCGTGAAAAGCGCGGAAGTCCAATTTCGCAGGGAGAGACCCTATTTTTTCGTTTTCTCTTTCCTGTCTATCCTCTTTTTTTAAACCGGACGTTGCTTATATTAGCTGGTACCTATAAGGGTGGCAGGGATAGGGTGAGAGGAGAAACTAGTATCTGTCTTTTTTTATTCCCGTTACGAACGTAATTTTGGGGGCCACCTGTTTTTGTTCTCCCTATTGGGGAACAGAAAGTTGCCCCATAAACCATAACGGGCCCCTTTGTCTAGTTTCCTGATTCGCTATGGTATTACTCGAATATTGCGACTAAGTTTTTTAATGAGCATTTTCTATGCGTATTTTATGTTGCGTTTAACATTGTCTTATGGTGGATGTAATCTATGAGATGTTACCTTGAATAACGTGGTTTCTGACATAGGAGTGGTATCATAGGCTGTATAGAAGAGTTGGATGTGATTGTTCTTGTACTTTCGTTTTTGAATTTTTCTGAAAACAATTGAAACTTGGAATGGAAGTTTATATGCTGCTTGACACGATAAGAAATTTTTGCTCTTATAGAACTTTGGTTGGTAATAGTGGCGCCATCTCTGAGAGAATTGCTGTAGACTCATTTTATGATAGATTAGATGAGTTTATTCAACTGTGCGTTGAGCTAATGCCCTTTGGGTATTCGTGTAACTTTTTTCTCATTTCTTCTGGCCCATGATGAAAATATTATGTATGGTAGAAACCTTTATTAAATAAGTATCTGCTATACAGTGTTGAAGGGACTCTGCTTTCATTTATATAATCTATTCAAGTGAATCAGTCTGTACCATTTTTGTTTCTGTGGGAGGGTCCTTTTGGAGGGAACCAAATTTATTAGCAATTCCGACGATTTCTCGTAGGGCAGCGTTTTCTTCTTTCAGACGGAAATATGTTTCCTTGTCTTTCAGTTCGTTTTCATCGTCCAGGGCTGCTGCTGTTTTCATAACTGCCGCCATTTCGTTAATTTTCTCAGCTTGGCTGCTAATAATCTGAAAACGAAATTTTTATTATGTTTCAGCTTATGATTTATGAATTCAAGATCTACTAAACTCACGTTGGCATATTTGGAATTGTACAGGGATGAGAAATCCGTCTTGCCAGTTCGTATCAATGTGGCTGTTTGCTGACGATATTTAGACATTATAAGTTCCAATGTATTTTGATGCTCCTCCAAGGCATTGCGTAGCTCTTTGTTTTCTGCTTGTATGTCACGCAAGTAACGATTCTCCTGCTGAATTCTTGCTACAACTTGAAGATGCGGACGCTGCTTAGCTTCTGTATTCAGGATTTCCACCTCTTCCTTGTACTGTGTAATAAACATTGGCAAATGTGACAATATCTTAGAGCATATTTGCAAACAGAATATTTTACCTGGTTCATATTATCTATCTCACTACATACTGCTTGAATCTCAGTTATAAGATAATCAGCAGCATTTTCTTGATCTGTGATTCGACTAACTAGTTTTTTAGCGTCCAAAATGATTTGTTGAAACGTCAAAGACATCTACGAAAAATTAAGGAATTATAATCAATTATTTAATTATTTAGTACACATCCCTGCCATGAAATTTCGTATTTATGTCCCTGTTAAAAATATTAATCACAATCATCTCAAAAGTGTTTACTCTATTCTTGAATGATGTGTATTACCTTTCAAGTTAATGATACGAAGAATAACAAAGTGAGAAATACGGTGAATCAGGACATTAAGGTTATGTGCTGGCTGTTAGTATAGAAAGTTGATAAATCATAAATAATCACGTTTATTGTTCGCCTTGTCAGATTAATTAAGTTTTCTATGGGAAACTTCAGCCGCACGCGCACTGACAATCTCGAATGCTCTCGAGATTTCGATCAGTTGGTTCTATTTCGAGGAGATTTGACGTTTCGTCTACTCGAGTAATGGACGCGATGAACGCTAAGTAACAGCAGTGCTTGTCAAGAAAGCAAACATTTTTACACATCTAACCTGAGATTACGCATTTTTTTAAATAATATGTGCGCATCTCTGCAGTTCCTTAACAATACGCAATAATTTTATTCGGAGGATGAACGATCTCTTAAAAGAATTGCCCTCCTGCCCGGAGGCGAAGAAATGTGAAATTTTGAATCAATTTCTCATTAAGGTAAATTCTTTATTTAGTTGTCTAGTTTTAATTCAATAAAGTATTATCTATATTTATAGTTGATGTTTGTAGTATGCTCTCACGCTAAAGTTCGATGAACTAAATGAAAATGGTCAACGTCAAGCCATTTGGGAATCTCTTTTTGATATACTGGAAACTCCAGAAATATCAGCGATCCATGACCTTTCCTTAGCTGCTTTAAGAATTCTTAGGTTTGTATCAAAAAGGTGTATTATATATTGTATTAGAAAATCAAAGAATGAATATTATTTCAAAATTGTTTCATTACAGTCGGGACAAAACTGATCTGGAAAATCTCATAACACATAAGAGAATAAATATTGTTTTAGATAATGCAGCACTTGGGGAACATAATTCTGAACAAATAAAAGAGACAAAAGGTGTGAAATAATATAAATTGATTTTTATCTCATGAACTTTTTGACATTTGAACATTAACTTAATTTAAATCTTGCTTATTTTAGTTATTACAGAGGCTTTGAAACTCCTATGCAATCTCCTGTTCAACAGTGAAAAGGTTCAGAAATTAATTGTTTCGACAACCGCCATACCCCATGTTATAAATCGCCTGAATAACTATGACAAGAATATTTCTCATGAGATAAGATTATTTGATACCAGAATACTGTTTTTGATCACTGCCTTAAACGTACCAACAAGAAATTTCGTTCGAGAACGACTTCATGGGGACGAATGTCTTGAAAAACATCTGAAGAAAATTATCTTGGAAGCTGGAAACAATCTCAACGTATGAAGTGTCACTACATCTAAAATTATGTCATTGTTAATTAAACGTAACGGTTATTTGTATTACAGGAAACTCAAACTGTTCTTGCTTGCGAGATTTTGAAAGTTCTTTTTAATCTTCATATCAAAGAAAGTACAGACAACGAGAAGGAAAAGTTGGAAGAATTGGTCACAATGTTACGTCAATTATTCCTATCAGGTAGTGCAATGGCAGAAGAGCTGCAAAGGTAAATGACCAATAATTGACTAAACAGTTTTTTTTTAAATTACTATTGATTATTCATCATTTGATTTCCAGTAATATTATCAATCTTCTTACTGCTCTTCCATACTCATCTTATGGACCCTTTGCCCCGGATGTCGATGAGCCCAATGCGGATGGCAGTGAGGTAGTCTACAGGAAAAAGGATATGACTGCTATGGCTAAACTATTAAAATTCCTGGACAGTAGATTAGAAGCAGAAAGTAACCTGGTGGAAAAACTGTCTCCAACCATGACAGCTCTACTTAGACTTGTTAAATCCAACAGACTCATACGTAAATACACACGATTACAAGTAAGCTAATCAAAACCGTTCATTCGTATGCATTAAAAGTATAACTATTAATTGAACGAATATTCCTCTAGGTCCTGCCACCTCTGAAGGACGTAATGAAGCGTCCAGAAGAGGGTAAATCCTTGCGAGCGAAGCTCTGCAAGCTCCTCACTTCACCGCTAAATGAAGTTCGCGACCTTGTCGCAGAATTTGTATTTGTACTATGCAAAGAAGATGGTCAGACATCAAAAGAAAAAACCTATCAATAAAACGAATCTCATAAACCAATTTTATTTTTAGTTGGTCGAATGGTAAAATATACCGGATACGGAAATGCAGCTGGTATGTTTGCCAATAAAGGACTACTTCATCAAAGACAACCGGACACGAATTATTCCTCAGACTCGGAAGACAGTGAAACCGAGGAATATGCGAAGTATAAAGAACAGTGAGTCTCGTGAAACAAATCAACAAATACTTGGCAACAGAAAAAAAGTTTTTTAATTATTAATATCGCTACAGAATCAATCCAGTAACCGGTTGTTACGAAAAACCAAAGCCAAATCCCTTGGAAGGAATGAGCGAAGAACAAAAAGAATACGAAGCCATGCAACTGGCAGGTCTAATGGACAAATTAACAAGGTTAACATAATCTTGAACGATTCTATTAAAAATTACCACTACATATTTCTCATTCGCCATTTTTTTCTGCAATTATAGCGAAGGTCTGGTTCAGCCTTGTCGAATCGATGCAGATGGAAAACCAAAACCGATCGAACACGTCTTGGAATTGCAGAACGAATTAATGCGTGGAAAAAACCTCCAACAGGATTCGGATTCCGATTAAATATTTGCTTTCAACATAAAATAAAATTCAGAAAAAAATTATTCCCAGTCATAAGTATGATTCAACAATTCTGTAAATAAATACTATCTTACAAAAACTGTTCATTTCACTCTCCGGTAAGTTTCCTTTACAAATACAAGATGAATTCGGTTTGCTTACTTTATTTAAAAAAGAACAAAGAACAACATTACAAATTAAACAATTGGCAGGAAATAAAAAATATAACAGTTTCCAAAATCACATGAAATGTTTTAAACGTTACAATTTCGTTTTGCCCACAACTTGCCCGCCTCTCTTTCTCTACACCTACTCTTACACTCATTCAACATACCCACTTCCGGTCTCACACAAAACTTCCTCTCAAAGACACACGCGCATACATACACACCAAATACACACAAGCTCCCTCACGTCTTCCCTTATCTTTTTTATTTTTTGGTTCAAACCATCCCACTTTGCATTTCAACAATCAAGAAAATTTGTGTAATGCATTCTTCACGATCACTTTACAAAACTTACATCAGTGTCGACTCTTATCGTTCCTTACGTTCATTTTTTGGTTTTCCATTCAAACACCCACAACTTTCCCTCCCTTATTGCATTTTATAGATTACTTGCGGCACAGATACCAAGTAGTAACTGATGCTTGCACTTATTAATCATTAACCTTATCTGACCTACTGGTTTCTGTTTTTTTTTGTTATCACTTAATTATTCCAACGCGCCGACCGCAATCAGGATGTTCGTGGATAAATTGAACCAGTGACGACAAACAGTATCAGCGATAAATTCGCCTTAATTATTATTCTCTCTGTTTCCCCTCCTTTTAACTCTTTTTCTTACATTTTCTCGAGTACGTGTATACATATACACACATATGTCACTTGAGAATATCTTAGTATAGGACAGCTCTGTGTATAATAATAATAATAGAAATTGACTGGCAAATGGCAAAAGTTAACGAATTTTTTTTTCTATATCAGAATATATATATGTAAATTATGTATATATGTATATCTATCCACTTTCGCGTGTCGCCCTTTATTATCTTTAACCGTCTCTTTAGTATTTCTGATATGAACGCGAAAAGCAGGAATATCTTGCTGATCGTATTAAAAGATTTTTTTTTTTCATCTCTAAATGACAATTTCACTTTATTTTCTTTTTTTGCCACGAATACTACTGCGTATGATGCCTTAGTATTTTTTTTTAAGAATCTGCATCAGATCACAACGTGTATCTTATGTATGGCGGTAGCCGAGTGTCTGTGTACGCGTGTATATACGTAATACACGCGGTATGCATACTAATTGAATACATTGTGTGTGCACCTTTAATTATCCGTAGCTCATCCTATAGTAAAATATTTCCAATTTTGCGTAAATGTCGCTTCGGTCGCTATTGATGCTTCTTTTTTCTGTTTTTCTTTGTATCTTTAACATTGCAGATAATTATAAATAGATATACACACGTGCACTCCACACACCACGCACACATAACCCCCCCCCCCCCCCATATATATATATATATATATAAA